ACAGTTTGGATTAGACTCATTATTTATATCTAACATATTACTTAGGCTATCTTCCAATCTGGTTCCAAATAATGCTTCCGTAGCTGTCTTTTGAGTGGTGGAGTTAGTTGCATTATTAATTCCTCACTGAATTTTTCCTACACACACATGTCGCAGTTCCGTTCGTCCTCACCGTCAGAAAACTTTACAAGTGAGCTTAAGATCGTTTAATTATATCTTCCGGCTTGGCCGTTGGCTCTGAGACACACAACAGCATTCAAAACATGTTTAATACCATGAGTATCGCAAAAAGATTTAAAAGCTGCTGAAGTGAAAGAGGTACCTCGATCTGATATAATTCGAGATGGTAAACCGAAGTCATAAAAATATTTAGCAATACCTTAACAGTTGTTTTAGTCTTTGTATCCTTAGCAGCTCTTACAAACAAATACTTGGTAAATCCGTCCACTATGGTGAGAATGTAAATATTGCCGTTCTTGCTTTTGACAAATTGACCCAAGTGGTCAATGTGAATGGTGTGGACCGGAATGCTTACCCTCTCTATCGGATACAACTGACCATTCATATGTCGAGACGCGTTATCCTTATGCCTTTTGCGTGCCTATAGGCACACTTAATGCAAGACTTATCATACTTTTTAACAATTCTACGTAACTTAGGAAACTAGAAAACAGATTGAATCTTCTCGGTAGTCTTTGATATTCCTAGATGACCTGCGTCATCGTGGTTAGATTTACACATTTGCCATCGAGCACTGCGAGGAATTACTAAACAGATCTTATCATCAACTCTCCTATACACTCTAACTAAATAGTTCTTAACTAAATAGTTTCTCCTAATATCTTTAGCTTCTCTATCAGACTAAGGCTTAAGAATTTTATATATTCGGGATATCTCAGGATCTGACATTTGTAAAGTCAAGAGCCAATTATCAGTGTCGATACTATAGACTGTAACTGTAGAATTATCGATAACCTCGGGTGTTAATTTCGTGTTACGGCTCAGTGCGTCCACATAAGCCATGCGGATGCCTGGCCGGTACTCTATACTAAAATTGAATTCACTTGTTAAAAGCCACCACCTAGCTATTCAGGGTATTAAGTCGCGTTTCGTTAATGTAGTTCGAATAGCGTTACAGTCTGTTACAGTTTTGAACTCAATCCCCAAAAAATATACCCTAAATTTCTTTAACGAACATACAATTGCAAGGGTCTCGAGTTCATAAGAGTGCAAGTGACGCTCCTCCGGGGCGGTTTACTGGCTAAAGTAAGCTATTGGCTTAAGAGCACGCGACTCCGGCCGCTATAGCATCAATATCCCACCCACGCCTAAAGAACTTGCATCCGTATGCAACTCAGTTTCAAAATTAGGATTGTATATAGCTAAAATTGGTCGGCCAATTAATTTATCCTTTAAGGTAGTAAACGAACGAAATTCTTTATCTGTCCATTTAAAACATTTCCCTTCTTGAGAAAGTTGGTTAGAGGCCTAGCTGTTTCACCGAAACTTTTGATAAATTTTCTAAAATAGCCTGCTAGTCCCAAAAACTGACGGACTTCATGTACGTTCTGAGGAATAGGAAACTCTTTTACAGCTAGAATCTTACTTTCGTTAGGACGTATGCCTTCTGCAGAAATCTCATAGCCTAGATAGTCAAGGGTATTACTGAAGAATCGGCATTGAGATAATTTTAAAGTGAGCCCATTTTGCCGTAACAACTTCAAAGCATTCTCTAACCTCTCAAATCCCTCCTCCAGGGTAACCGATGGCACAAGAATGTCACCCAATGCTAACTCATCAAGTTTATTACTTACCCAGAAATCAGGTCTAAAGATGTAAAGAATCTATTGCCACTAAGGTTAGTTAATTGATCATTAATTAAGTGATCATCGATTATCGGCAACGGAAAACAATCCTTCCTCGTTTTGTTATTGAGAGCCCTATAATCAACGGATAAGCGCTGTTCTCCTGTTTTCTTCCTTACCAATAAAATAGGACTGGCATAATTCTTGAATTGGACTCTTGTATAATGTCATTTTGCAACAAGTCATTTATTATCTGTTTCCGAAAAGGATAATCTATATGGTCGGTAAACTACAGGTTTCTCATCCAATAAGTCTATTCTCATTCTTGTTGAGTTGTTACAACCATTTTCTCCTAGATTAAATGCAAAGCAGATAATTGAGTAAAAGTTAATGATCTACCTAATGCCTCTTTGTCAATTTGGGAACCAACATTTATGTCAGATATTAGTAAGGGCTCATATTCCGAATTACTTATTACTTTACATACATATTACTTTATTTACATAGGTACTATCTTTTCAACAAAACAAGTTCCTTTAGCAATAGGGCATTTCTTGGATAATGTAAGATTTTGACAAGATAAATTTGTCACGGGCAAATAGCACCTTCCATCAACAACACTATAAACTCCCTGGTGCAAATAATGCACTTTCCTAGGCTCCATGAGGATAAAAATTACATTAAATAAGGTAAGTGCAAGAAGTGCAAAACTACATAAAATATAAAATTACTTAGGCAAAGAATGGAACAAAACTAAGCAATCAAAACATTTTGTAGACAATGAAAGGGACATAAAGAAAAGTGCTGAATCAAAGCTCAAAATATTGTTCAAGTACATAAGAAATATATAATATTTGACATTATAAACTGTGTTCAGATAATTTAATATGCCCCGTAGACTTAACCATGTTATTTCTAGCTTGTAAGTTGCACCATACCTGAGATGAACTTGATAAATGTCAATGTCTAGTCTACCTAGTCCTGCTTCGTTTCTAGGGTTCCTTTATTCTGTTCAAATTAAATTGTTAAAGATGACTCTGGCCTGGACCAACTGCAAACATCTTAATAACACACTGCACAAGATATTTTATATCAGTCTGTGATATATCTGCATTTGATTTTATTATTATTTTTGACCACAAGTACTTCAACCAGAAACAAAGTTAATTCATAAAATTATGTTATATGTATTATAATTACTTTAAAAATAAAGCTTTTGTATTTTATAAGCTTTATTTAAGTTCACGATGTCAAAAATAACTAACAGAATAAAATCTATCTTAATGAGCACATTCCTATTAAATGAGTGAATTCTTTAAAGTTCACCCAATTCTGAGAAAACATGGACACCAAAAACATTCTGATATTCACATTTAGAATCTACAATACAAGCTTTATTTATGCTAAATTCTGTTGGCATTAAGGACATCAATAAATTCAAATTTTTAATTTACCTTTACACTGCTACAATAATTTGTCTTATGGTAGATAGGAGTTTAAAATTGCATAGTTTGTAACTTACTGCACAGGTAAACCCCAATGGTTATAATTGACTTCTCATAATACTTACTTGATGGAAATATATAATTTTAAAGTCTTCCTTAAAAAAAGGCTTACTGGTAAAAGCTACTGCCTTGTGTCTGTAAATTAGTCTTTACAAATTATGTATTATACATTTTCCTTGTACCTGTATTACTAAAGAATTTTCATATTAACACAATATTGTTCAATAAATAAATCCATGAATATTTATTTATGATTATATGAATATTACAATGGTTCACTTTAATAACAAAAAATGAGTAACTCTTAATGTTCGTTTTTTCTAGGTACACATGACCTCTAGGATACTCACATGACTCATGATAGGCATACATAGCCTCTGGTAGCTGAAGCACACTTGGCTTCCTATTGTGGGCACACATAACCCTCTAACGACCAAGCACACATGGCTCGGTAGGCATACATAGCCTCTAGTAGCTGAAGCACACTTGGCTTCCTATTGTGGGCACACATAACCCTCTAACGACCAAGCACACATGGCTCAGTAGGCATACATAGCCTCTAGTAGCTGAAGCACACTTGGCTTCCTATTGTGGGCACACATAACCCCCTATCGACCAAGCACACATGGCTCGGCAGGCATACATAGCCTCTAGTAGCTGAAGCACACTTGGCTTCCCATCGTAGGCACACATAACCTACCAAGCACACATGGCCAATAGGCACACATCACCCATTAAGCACACATGGCTCGATAGGCATACATAGCCTCTAGCAGCTGAAGCACACTTGGCTTCCTAATGTAGGCACACATAACCTACTAAACACACATGGCTAATAGGCACACATCACCCATTAAGCGCACATGGCTCGATAGGCATACATAGCCTCTAGTAGCTGAAGCACGCTTGGCTTCCTATTGTAGGCACACATAACCTACTACGTACACATGGCACGTTAGGCATACATAGCCTTTCAGTATGTAAAGCACACTTGGCTCTATAGGCGTACATAACTTCTAGTAGCCAAAGAAAACGTGGGGCGTTCGATTTCTATTTATTTATAGCAATAACATTAATAATCGTATAAAACACTTGTACGCACCTTAGATTGGGTCCTTATCGCACTTCTGAATTGTTATGAATCCTCAATATTCGACTATTTATATTATACAAATACTTCTCCTTATTGTCATAGATTGGTTTGTTGGCATCAGCCATTTAATATCGACATTGAGAGTCTACTGTTTAAAGGCTTCTGCTTAGTTAGACCGCTCAATCGAACTGAGGGCCACACCAACCAGTTCCTGTATTTAAGCAACCAGCATTTGTAATTCCAGTTTCGTGACATTTCGTGTACTCGTTCCACGACCGAACCCGAATCGACCACAGAGTCGAACGGCAGTCATAGGAACGAGTGTCAAAGATTACTTTAATATTTATAGTCATTGATTTAATATTTAAAATTATGATAAATAACGTTTAATAATAATAATGACTATGGAGTCATTATTATTATCGACCATTGAATAGTCATTTCGAAATTAACCATTCCTATTAACGGTTTTACACTAAATTGACTTGACGTTATTCATTTAATATAATGACAATGGCATTAATTAAAAATAAACGTGATTTGAATAATAAATTTGTAAAATAATTTAATTATTCGCTAGTTCACTTGTGTTCAAATATGTTGTGTAGATTGACGAAATGCTGTTTTTGCTTTCCTCTGAGATCTGGATTAATCGCATTTGGATATATTTGTCTTGTAAGTGTATTTGACTAATAAGACGGGCTTTTTCACTTTTCTTGTCGTTTATTGCATCAATTTCTTTGCTCTCAAAATAAATAGAATAACCTTTTATCGAACGGAATTGAAACTTCAAACACAGTTTAAATATTAATTTGATATCTTCTTTTTGTATGATTGTAACGAATGAACCCTATTTTTAAATATTTATATTTCACCCTTATATATATATCATATTGCTATGTTATTACATATATACAAATATCAGTCTATAACAAAGGGTGAAAACACCAATATTTAACATTCTTACATACATTATTTTTGAAGATATACTTCTTTTGGCGCGTTAGGGGAAAATGATGAGAGTAAATTTGTACAGTGCGGTAACAAAAATCCGACACCCGCACACATAACGCACACGCCGTCACAATAAACCGGCACTCTCAAGTTAGCATAGTCAACATTTTAAAATAAAAAATGTCCATTTCTTTAATTATGTTTAAAAAAATATTTGTAGTATTTAAATAAACTTTTTCAATGTATTAAATACCTTTTTTCTATTGTTAGTATAGTTTTTTCTATAAACGTAGAATAGATAAAAATTTTAAAAAGATTTTTATCTTGTTACGCCAAAGAAGTATAACTTCTAACGCGTGTACATAAGTACACACACATGTTTTTAAACCAAGTCACCACTCTATGACATGAACTAGACATAATATGCTCTGGTTCTACAAATCAGTTTTGATTTTGCTAATAAATTGTTTAACCTTTTCTGCCTTCTAACTTGATTCAACTGCCCTGACGCGTCACGGGAGAGGTAGTTATAAAAGGACAAGAAGATGTTTAGGTAAAGGAAAAGAATTCTTTTATTTCTTCTCTTTATGCTGATTTAGATTGTATTTAACACGTATATTGACACGTGATATGCTTATCTAAAGTATTACTTTGTTGATTCACAGTTCACATTAGTAACCCACTCCTATAAAATTATGCGTGACTTTTAAGAAAAATCTAATGAAAAACAATCATAAATTCTCGTACCTAACTTTTCTACTTTTAAAAATGATTATCTTATTCTTCTTTATGTTATATATATGTTAATTAAAAAGCTTCTTTTATAAGCTTTTATGATCGCTGTTTAAATGGTTTTTACCCAATAGACTAATTTTATTACAACTGTGAGCTTAGCTCATTTCAGTGACGTAAGTTTTATTATGATACTCGTTAACAGTTAATCTCTCAACGGGATGTCAAAACAAAACAGTTTAAAGGTTACTGATAAATGATAAATTACTTTGGTACATCTATACTGCACAGAATCACAGTATTTACTGGATTCATTATGATTCTTGTATGATAGCTTTTTTATAAATTTGACGATTATTTAAATGATCCTAATCCTTGATTGATTTGCTCCAGTTCAAATATTTATAGCTGCTCTGCCTTACAAACAATTTGTATGATTCAAAACTTGTCGATTAAAGAGTGACGGAGAGTTTCTTGCCAGTTCTTCTTGCCCGCTCTACGCCGTCGACTTGCGAAATGTAAATGTAAATTTAGAATCAATTTAACATCTTTTCTGTTGACGTTCATAAGTGTACTTGGACCTATATTAATAAAGTTATTTTGAGTTTGAATAATAATAAACTTAGCCTATATCAAATTGAGGAGAGTAAATGTATTGGCTCCTGAGTTATGAAAACTTGGAGGGTTACATGGATCAAGCTTCTGCAAGTTCTAGGTCATCAATTCATGAACTCAGTAATTTGTCGGTTGGTCTTCGGGAACTCATGTAATGCCTTCATGAATTATGTCAGACCGAAGCAGAGTACTTTAATCAAATATTGTTTTGTCTGTGTACAACGTCTGTCGGGTCCGCTAGTTTATTATAAGAAATGAATAGACATTTTTATAGGTATAATAGGGGGGCAAACGAGCCGAGCACGACGCCCAAAAAGGGAGTGGTCGCAGCCCATGGACACCCATTATCAATGGGTGAATTGCCGGCCGGTTTGAATATATCATTAATATATTTTTTGTTTTCAGATAATACTTTACCTTAACATAATATCAATAATATGCCATATGAGCGACCTGTTCCAAGGACTATCATCAACCGATCCCATGAATTACATTATACTTTCGCTGGCGTTGGGAGTCAACATTATACAGTTCTTTTTTGATGTTATTTTACTTGTCGGACTTCACAAGGTATCTTTGAAAATATTTTGTAACCTTTTAGAATAAAATTTGCCGAATTTTGCCATTAGAAAAGCTCTTTAGGATATATCCTAGTGATTGTAAAATAAGTTTGAATGAATGCTTGTAGTGAGAACTAACGGAACTCTGTCAACATTGTGGGAAGTGTGAACGTAGCTATTCTTGGTTATTTTTATAGGACCATCGGTATATCGTAACTTCCAATACGTTTCAACGTTTTTGTTTCAAATTTTGATATAATCGATGGGCTGTAAAGTAAAGTTCCTAGGATGACACATAGATGGCGCTATAAGTATTAAATTAATATGAATTTTCGTAAGCTCTAACCTGCTACTATTTGTTTGTGAGATAGTGTTGTAGCTGTTAGTTCTTTCAATACACCATATCTTGAGGTCGCTAGATACAAAAACTCAATAACGAAGTAGGAGTCTAAATTGTAGGGTACCGGTGCAAGACGGGTTCCATTCGCATATAAACTTGCTTATTTTGAGACATAATCAAACGATATTTCCTTACGATGTTTTGGCATACAAATGTTCGCACACAAAGATCCGGCCAAGGTAGTACCTAACTTCAGGAATTAAAATCGCTTTATCACTTCAGTAACACAAAAAGGAAACGTTTTAACTTCGATTAATATTAAATCATTTCACTCTTTTATTTATAAATTCTAATTATAAATTCAAAAAATATACATATACATTTATTCATAAAGATAACTGTGAATTCACTTTGCGATCATATATGTCTATAGTGACAGAATTTCGTAGGCGCAACGTCTTTGATAACGGGGATCTGTGCAAGAGATTGGTTCTGGCCCTTAATATCGCAAATAGATCGCCGTCGCACATATCCAATAGGTACAAAGAAACACAGTTCCTGGAGTACACACTACACTTGGGTTGCACACTAGATTTATGAACGTACTGCTTTACAACTTGTTTTGGTCGTGAGCTCTCGTTCAATAAGAAATATAACAACAGCCTTGCGATTCTGTAACTCACTTTTCGAACTCACACAGCGGTTTTCGCAGCGGCGGTCGCGCTCAAATCATATTTTGTGAAAACAGTCATTTTATGATTTGGCATTCTGATAAACCATAAACTACAAACTCCCTCCTTATCCGCTGCGAAAACCGCTGTGTGAATTCGAAAAGTGAGTTACAGAATCGCAAGGCAGCTCCTAGATTTACATTTACTGCCTATTTTTCAGGGAAGCACTGCATTACTAGAAGCATACTACGAGTGCAACTTATGTATGCTTATAACTCAAATGGTAATTGCTGGCTTGTATATTCCTCTACAGGCGTATAGATCATATCCTACACTGAAGAATTACGTTTGGTTATTATCAATTATAATGATTTTTTGCGGTGCTCTTGTTATTGGTAAGTAATTTAAATTTACTTAATTTATATTGTATTATAGTTACGAGAGAAGACTCTTACGTCTTAGTTCGCGCTATATATTGTTTCCAGTGATACCAACTTGGGGGTTTTCCCACCAATTTTGGGGGAATCAAGATTACCAGGATGTTTTTAGGTTTTTTTTTTTGTTTTTACTTTATTCATGTTTTTATTTTTCTAAACGCACAAATCTATACAATTTTATTAAGTCTCGAATCCAAAAAAAAACAAACTAAATATAAACTCCAAGCGTGGCTATAACTTAAAGCTTATTATACCTTTTATTCTGCTATGTTATGTTATATTTTATATGGCTTAGGATTTTAACTTAAAGTTCGAAACAGCTGTTTTACATTACTTGCATGTAATAATATTTTTATTTACAATCAAGCATACAGTATTTACAATTTCCTTAACCTACAAAGTAATAATAAAAATTATTAAAAAGAAAATCAAAACAAATTTAAAAGTTTGGTCCATGTGGCAGTGTATCTTTAACGCTGGCAGCATTTCCTCGCTGTATTACGATACTTATTCGTTGAGCCAGGAAAGTGCCAGCTCTGGGGTCACCGATATCTACTAGGCGCCAACTTAAATCTTTAATAAGCGCCTGTGCACTTGAACCCCACGGCCCAAGAGTCTCTACACCAAAGGGAACAAAATCTAAGTTGGAGGAAAGACTCTTATATTTGTGCCGTTTATTATTTTCTGCCTGCACTGCGGCCATAATGCATATAATTATATAATTCTATAAAATTACTTCTCAAACCGAAAGTAGGGGGTTTCTGTAAGCGTTGGCATAATTGCTTGTTTCTGAATCTCTCTCAGTGCTTGTGACATACGGACATTTTTAGCTATAAAATAAAAAGAAAGATAAAAAAGGAAAGAAAAATATAACTAATTTTTTTATACATTTTTAAAGTTATACCGTTCGTATATCTAAATATATTTGATATTTGGCAGCAAATTTAACTAACATTTCTATTCTAGTGTGTCAATTCTACTTAACGTCACTGGTTAGAAGTCAGTTACGAGCCATGAAACATGCAGTGGTAAGGGAAGAAGTATGAAACTAGCAGGTTGATCGCTTTTGAAAACTATTCCTTTGGTTATAATATTACTATGAAAGCTTATATGTATAGCAAAAAATCACTATGCTGATTTAAATAACTATGTAATGCTATTGTATATTTATTTCGTTTAGATCTATTAATATATTTAAACCAAATAAATAACAAATGACCTATGTAACATTGACTGAGTTAAGTAAGCAGCTGAGTTTCATCATCGGACATCAAGGCAGAATACAAAATACCATCTCACCTGGACACGAGCGGTTCTTAAGCCAGTTTTTGTCGTACACCACTACTATGTGGAACCAGCTGCTCACTGACCTATTTCCGAACGATTTTGACTTACGGTCCTTCAAGAAAAGAGCGTATATTGGTACGCTCTTTTCTTAAGTGCGTTGTCGGCCTTTTAAGAATTGTCTACGCTGTACTAACCTGCACTGGTCACGACATACGGACTACACTCGTCTGAGTTGCACTACAGTTACACTCATGTCTCACTCACACAATTAAAAGAAAGACGATGGTGTGATTGATTTCAATCTACCTCACTTGTTTAGTTATTACGATTTAATATCAACAATCGCCAGTAATTTGGTTTTTCAAGTATGTAATATAATTAATTAACCATTTAAGTACCTTTACTGTTTTGCTTTATTAAGTAGATTAAGTATTAACATATAGGAAAGAGCGTTCATCCCTAACACAGGTTCTTGAACCTAAAAGGGATGTACTAAAATATAGATTTAAGACTATTTACTTAATAAAGAAATTTTTGTTTGTTTGTTTTGTCTTAAAAAGCCGACAACGCAGTTGCGATCCTTCTAGCAATGTGAGTGTCCATGACTTACTTAACATCAGATGTGGTGAACGCCATCCCTTATCCTCAGCCCTATTTGCCTCCTGTTACATAAAAATAAAAAAATAACTATTTTGTAAAGTATCTAAAAGTATTTTATAAAGCATGTGTATAGTTTCTTTAGTTTGTAAATTGGTGTCTTTTCAGATTGGTTCTTTGTCAGAAGAGAGTTTTATGTTTAGTTTTATTAAATTATTAACCAAACCTAATAATAGCGGGTGGCGGAAAAGTAAAGGCACTAAAGAAAATTTGTTTATTTTTTTATATGACGATAGTTTTCATTCTGTTGTTGAACAAACGTAAAATACACTGAAAATAAACATGGACCGTTTGACTCCCCAAGAATGTCGATTATTCCACGTTCTCTTCTTTGGGGTTTTTTGAAATCTCGGGTGTATGTGAACAAGCCACAGACTCTCGCAGCTCTAAAAGAAAACATTCATCAAGAAATAAGGAACATATCGCAGGAAGTATTACGGCAAGTTATGCAAAATATCATAAATCGAAATCAAAAAATCAAAATCAAAATACGTTTATTCAATTTAGATGCTTCTTAGAGCATGTTTATGAATGTCAACAACGTTTACAAAATTCACGAAAGAGCAAGACTACGCCATCCGTTCGCAAAACTACCAGGAGGCCTTGTTCTGAGAAGAACGGGCAAGAAACTCAGCAAGTTTGCCCTCCCTTTACATTACAATTATTCAAAGGAAAATGTCATAAACCACAACGTCATTAAAATTACATAAGTAAAAAAAATAAAAAATCTGTTCTGTGATTTACCACATTCACCATTACACACATATTCATAACACTTCAAAGATAACAAATCAAATTATAAGAATATAATTAGAACTATTGCCAAGCGTTTTTATCTTCCAGGTAGTCATTGACTGTGTAGTAACTAACCTTTACACATTAAGGTTTTTTTGATGTGTGTTTTGAATCTGTTTAAAGGCAGTTCCAATATTTCACTAGGAATCATGTTATAGCAGCGTATACTTAGGCCCATAAATGAAGTATTTATTTTCTGCAACCTGTAAGACGGCTGGAAAAGTTTTCCCTTATTTCTTGTATTCCTATTGTGAATGTCGCTGTTCTTTAAAAGAGAACTAATATTACTACGCACAAAAACGATACAGTTGTAAATATATTGGGAAGGTACCGTCAAAATATCGATTTCCTTGAACAAATTTCTAAGTGAAGTGCCTGGTTTCAAGCAATAAATTGACCTAATAGCACGTTTTTGCAAGATAAAAATTGATTGTATATCTGCTGCTTTGCCCCATAAAAGAATTCCATACGACATAACGCTGTGAAAGTAACTAAAATATACTATTCTGGCAGTTTCCTCGTCTGTGAGTTGCCTAATTTTCCTAATAGCGTATGCCGCAGAACTAAGCTTGTCAGAAAGTTTAGTGATATGCTGACTCCATTGAAGTTTTTGGTCTATTGTAATGCCCAGAAATACCGTAGAATCAACTAAATTTAGTTTTTCATTGTTCAGTTTAAGCTCTATAGTTGTAGTTTTAACATTAGGTAAAAGTAAATCTTATGCATTTTGTTTTTGTGGCATTTAACTGTAAATTATTTGCAGAAAACCAGCACACTATTTTAGAAAGTGCATTGTTCACATCGTCAAAATTTGTCTTATATCTATTTACTTTAAAAATCAAGGACGTGTCATCAGCAAACAATACAATATCACATAATGGCTTTGAATAAGAAGGCAAATCGTTAATATATATAAGAAATAAAAATGGTCCTAATATTGATCCTTGAGGGACTCCCATTTTAATATGTGATCCCGAAGATTTAGTTCCATTTATATCAACTTTATGAGTTCGACAACTTAGGTAAGAGGTTATTAAGTTAAGAGCTACATTTTTTATACCATAGTGGTCAAGTTTGCAAAGCAGAGTCTCATGATCAACACAATCAAACGCCTTGGACAAATCGCAGAAAACTCCCAGTACATTTTGAGTTTTCTCCCATGCATCAAATATATTATTATGTCGTACTCGTAACAGAGCTATTCCAGCATCGGTAGTGGAGTGACCTTTAGTAAAACCGTATTGTGCGTTGTGTAGAAGACTGTTTGTATTAAAGAATGTAATTAATTGTTCTAGTATAATTTTTTCAAAAACTTTACTTAAAGTTGGCAATATTGAGATGGGTCTAAAATTAGTAGGATCTGTCCTGCATCCAGATTTAAATAAAGGTATTATTTTACTATGCTTCATTAAATCTGGAAAACTTCCTTCATCAATACAATTGTTAAAAATATACGCAAGATCTGGGGCAATAATATCTATAATGTCCTTAATAATACGTACAGAAACATCCCACAAGTCTCCAGAATGTTTTAATTTTAAAGATTTAAAAGTTTTAACTACATCACCAGCGCTAACGTGCTTAAACTGAAAATTTATTTTGCATTCCGGTACGTGACTTTTAAGAAAACTAATAGCCTCTTTGGAAGAGGAGTTAAGAGAAGATGTAGTAATTACAGGTATGTTTGTAAAGAAATCTTCAAAAATATCAGCAATCTCTGAGCTTTCAACAATAATCTTATCATCTACCTTTAAAAAGAATGAATTATTACGGGATTTAAGGTTTCCTGTTTCTCGATTTATAACATTCCAAGTAGTTTTGATTTTATTACTTGAATTCTTAATTTTCTCACGTATATGCAATGGGTATATTTGCAAACTTTTCTAAAAGTTTTGGAATAATTTCTGACATATTCCATAAACACTGCGTTGTGATTATATTTTCTTAAATAGGGCTCAAATGTGCATCAACTCTGGAGGTCACCATTTAAAAGACATAATCTTTAAATTCTAATGGTACGAAATTTAATGGCACAAATATACATTTAAAAAACCTAAATCTAGTTTTCTAATTTAGAAAAAATGTTATAGCTGAACCAAATAGGGTCTTTACTTTTGCGCCACCCAGTATATTCGACAGCTCTGTTCGAAGACAGAATGTCGTGAATTAATTATTATCATGCTTACTGTATCTAATAGTTTCCAAACATCTACCTTAGCGACTAGCGAGCTGTGGAATCGACTCCCCTGGGAGATACGACCTCCAATTGTTTAAAAACAGGGCATATCCTCCCGACCTCCACTAAAATACGTGTCCAAGGGCGTAAATCTACCCGTATATCGTATAAAAAAATACCTCCACTCCAAATTCTCCTAAAATATTAATAATGCTATATAACCATACAAAAAGAACCAAGAAACAATAAAAATACGTCTCGATTAACATACACACATACATCATCAATTTCTATAACATTTCAGTTCATCGAAAAATTCAACTCGACAGGAACGCATTCTGGTGAAGCGGAGACACATGCTGATACTATGAAGATGCTTAAAACAAAAGAAGAATGCTTATTTTCTAAATGTAATTGTTAATAACTTCGTAGATTTATTTATTCTCACATGTGTTAAGGTGCGCTTACACGGGCAACTAAAATTGCTCAATTCCAGTCAATACTCGTCAACTATGACGTCACGACTACATCAAGCAATTTACGGCAACAGCAACAAGCATCAATACTGCGCAATACAATATTGAGCGATATGGCGCAACTTCATCAACTAGGCAATACTGTCCTACACGAGCATTTCAGTATTCGCTCGCTATGGACGACATTGTTCTTGCAGCGGCGGCTTGTAGCGCTTTTTTTTATTATTAATCAAAAACAAAAAAGAAAGAAAAGGAATAGGCGTATCTGGGTGCGATCGTTTTTGGCAAAGAGGCCGCAATTTTCATTGTGTAAAGAATTAGATGATATATTATTTAAAAACTTTACTAGCATGTCACGAACAGACTTTGAATTACTTTTCAATAAAGTAATTAGAAATTATTACTATTTAGACCTCAAGTGCGAATGAGACATATACAAAAATTTCTAGGAATTTCCAAGTCCATTGGATATTCGTCAATTCGTATCTGCGACATTGAGCGATATGATATATCTGGAGGAATTAGAAGCAATATCGCCGAAATAATTTATTGAAATTTATTGAATTTATTGAAATTGCTCCATTAATTGATCCAGATCGGTCCATTCGTGTCGCCGAGCAATTATAGCCCTCGTGTAAGCGCACCTTTAAAGTCT